GAGGGGTTTGCCCGACGTAGACACCAGCCTCCTCCAGGTGTTTGCCCACGCGCATGGCTAACGCGCTGCTGGAAAACGGACGCTCCACGAAGCGTTGGTGACCCCGGTCAGTGGGACGGAAGAGGTAGTCGGAGATTGCAGACCCTGGGGGGGCGTCAGGGGCATGGCACAGCTGCCAATAGAGGGCGAGGGTGCGGAGGAAGCAATGTCGTGGAGAAGGGTCGGGGCGCAGTTCCAAAGGGGGGGCTCGACGCCCCTTGGAGGTTTTGGTCCCGAGTTGTTCGATCCGTAAGGAAAGCGAGGGGTAGGCACCAAACGGGTCCGGCAGAGGTAGGGGAAACCCACGGAAGGGACCCCCACCCCGCGGGTCACGGAAGTCACGTAGCCGCAGTTTGCCGGTGTCGTGGCCGCGGTAGCTGGTGTGCCACATAAATTGGCAGCACAACAGGTCGCGTAGTAGCAGCAGCCGGGTCAGGGAGGTGGTGGATGCCTGAAATCCGGACCAGAGGTGGTCCATGAGGGTGTTGAAGTCGCTGACCCACCGCATCCTGCTGACCCAGTCGCTGTAACCTCTGCCAGGCTTCCTGTAGCAGCTGGAGTGCTTCCCTACCCCGGTTAAGCAGGTCATTTTGGGTCAAGTTTCCCTTCGTATATCCTTGGGCCCTTTGCGCCTAAATGTCCGTCCGTATGTGCTGCCTAAGTTTACTGATGCAGCCACGTTTATCTTAGGGTCCGCTACCCTTGATCAGTATGGGGCTCATCTGAATTATGAGACCCACACCTTGCAGTTGCGGAAGGGAACCTTGTGTTATAAGGCGCCTTTCACCACTGCGGAACGGATGGGAGAAGGGAATACTAGTGCTGCGCACCCCGAACCCTGTGTGAATTTTGCTGCTGCCGCTATCTGTAAGCGAATTGAACCTGAACCCGTTGGGCGCAAAGCAGCTATCCGTATGATTCGCAAGGGGGCGCATGGATTGCTAGTACGGCCTAAATTGCAACTGAATACAGCCGTTACCCAGATCACTGAAAATGACCCTGCGGTTGAAGCTCTCCTTAACGAATACTCAGATATCTTCCGTGAGGTCCCTGGACTTCCCCCGATGAGACCTGTAGATCATACCATACCTTTGGCTCCTGGTGCGCAGCCTGTTTCGCGCCCTATGTATCGCCTCAGCCCCCTGGAGCTGGATGAGGTGACACGCCAGGTAGCCGACCTACTGAGGAAAGGTATGATTCGACCCAGCACATCCCCGTATTCTGCTCCCATTTTATT